AAGATCAAGATAATAAGTTTCTTCACAGACTCTCAATCTAATCTGGGAGGCGGTTATCAGAATATTTAGTAAAATGCAGTACCAAAGTTGAAATAAACTGTTACAAGGAAGTTGTGGATTCATTTTGAGGTGCAAATCTAGAAAAGCTATCATGGTGCTTACCTGTACTGGCTAAAATTATTGGATTCTGTACTTCCTGGAATATGATATGTCTCCACTTGTCCAAAAGCTTATCAGGGGCTAGGTTTAAGTACTCCATCACTTTCCAATGTACTTCTTTTTCACTGTCCCCCAATCGGTTAACTTGTCCCCTCTCTCCCTTAACCTGTAAGGCCTGATACATTATTTCTATCCAGTTGTTTAAATGTCTGTAATCATCACTACATACAGCCCTCTGACTTCCTTGTATACTCTGAAAATACCTGGGAACTGCCACCATTTAAGCACATAGCAAGTGAATTTAGGGCAAAGTGATTTTTAAGCCATTTGACCAAAACACAAGAAAACAAATCCATTTTATTTATTTTCAGTGTTTAAATCCTTGAGGGGTACAGCATCTAAAGGGGGGAAAAGAAAATGTCATTAGGTGCATGTTATATATACAAATTTACAAATGTCATTAGTAACACAATATGAATAAATGCCCTCCCATTGTCCCATTACTCATCTCTGAAAGGCCTCCAAAGACTTATATGTAGGTAGGGGGAGGAACCAAGTTTTTATGGCCTTCAATTTTTAGGTGAACGTTGTTTTGATTAAGGAACATTCTGGAATACCGAAAGTCCATTTAATTTGAAACCTCTAACTGCTCACCAGGGTTCAATGTACCCCAGGTGACCCAAGACTATGGTCATGACTATGAAAAATAGATACTAACTGCTGCACTGAAAGGCTTTGGGTTCATTCCCTATTCCTGGTCGGGGTGCTGTCAGGGTGCGTAAGGAAGGCAATGCTTCTCTGTCTCTTTTTTTAAAAATACGTTTTTGTTAATTTCAGAAAGAAAGGGAAAGGGAGAGAAATATCAATGATAACAATCACTGATCAGCTGCCTCCCCATTGAGGACCGAGCCTGCAACCCAGGCATGTGCCCTTGACCGGGAATCAAATCCAGGATCCTTCCGCAGGCCCACTGCTCTATCCACTGAGCCAAACCAGCCAGGGCCTCTCAACCCGCCCCCCTCCCATCCATTCTGTCTAAAAATAAACATTTTGTGGGCCCAGCCGGCATTGCTCAGTGGTTGAGCATCGACCTTTGAACCAGTTAGGGCACATGCCCAGGTTTCCTGCTTGATCCCCAGTGTGGGGCCTGTAGGAGGCAGCCCATCAATGATTCTTATCATTGATGTTTCTATCTCTCTTTCCCTCTCTGAAATCAATGAAAATAAATTTTTTAAAAATCTGGTGAGGATTAACAAAAACAAACATCAATTTTCTTCCACAAAATAAAATTAACACCTAATCTAATAAAACTGTCATGATGAAAAGATGGGAAAATATTAAGAATTACGCCAGTAAATGGTATGATTTTTTATTTAGTTTTTAAAAATATATTTTATTGATTTTTTACAGAGAGGAAGGGAGAGGGATAGTGTTAGAAACATTGATGACAGAGAAACATCGATCAGCTGCCTCCTGCACACCCCCCACTGGGGATGTGCCCGCAACCAAGGTACATGCCCTTGACTGGAATCAAACCTGGGACCCTTCAGTCCGCAGGCCGACGCTCCATTCACTGAGCCAGACCGGTTAGGGCGGTATGTTGATTTTTAACTTCCTAGCCACTTCTTTAATGTCCAATACATGTCTTTGCCAGAAATTTGTTATTTTATTTTACTAATTTTTTTAGAGGAAAGGGAGGGGACACACAGAGAGAAACATCTATCTACTGCCTTCTGCACAATGCCCCAACCAGGCATAGAACCCCAAACCTGGGAATTGAACCTACTATCTTTTGGTGCTCGAATGATGCTCCAACCAAGCCACACTAGCCAGGGCAGAAAATTATTCATTTAAATATTATTTCCCTCCACAAAGCTCAAGCAAAATCTGAAATCTAGGCACAATTCACTCGAAAACTGTGCCTTCACTTTCCTTCTAATGTCATGAATTTTATGTTCCATAATACATTTACACAGGAGCCACTAATTCTGTAGCATAATCTTACTAGTAATATTTGATAATCACAAAAGTTTTTAGAGACCAAAGTCCAACACCTTGACCTTAGTTTGACTCAACAAGTATCTTGCTTATAATTGTACTTACTACACGGATTCTGTGTCCAATAGCCTTAGCAGGAAGGTTGCTTCGGAATTTAGCACGAACCATTCCACTGTTTCCATGAGCACGAGTGACCTTTCCCCAGATTACTCTGGTTTTGTTTGGTTTGCCACCAGGAGTCACCGTGTTGCTGATTTTAAAAGGGAATACAAAAAAACCGTGAGAACCCAGGCAATTAGTACCATAATGTGGTACAAATTCTAAGTGACATATAGACCAGCGGTTAACCCTAGCTAGCCACTTGAGTCATTACATAAAAGCCTGCGGCATCATTCACTCAACGATATCTTTGTAACATACCTACTATACGCCAGACACAACGCAATTGTTTGAAATTTTGTAAAATACAGTTTACAAAACAAATTCCTTTCAGAGGATAACAAAGTATATAGCCTTCATTTACATGTAACTAAAATATAGAATGTAAGATGGTTAACAGCTTTTGAAATATTGAGAAAGAAAAAAGGAAAGGGGATCAAGTAGTTTGAGGTACTTGTGTGCATCAAATTTTAAAATCAGAAAGTCTCACTAAGAAGGTAACGAAGACTGAGGAGGTGTGTCTTTTGCTTGTGACAAGGCAGAAGAGACCAAGAGGTGAATCCTAGCTAGATTAAGAGTAGAAACAGAGTCTTGAAAGCATAGTTTTTAATGACTTTGGCTTTTACTATGACATGGGAGCTTGAACAATGTACAGATGTCCTGACATAATTCAAAGGATCACTCTTGATTGTAGGAGAAAAGGACGACAAAGATGAAAGCATGAACTCAGAGATTTTAATTGGTCTGGAATGGGCTTAAGAACCCAGGATAGAGAATCGATGCTCTGGAGACATACATCTTTAAGTATGTATATGAAATATAATTTCAAGGAAATCAACCAAATGAATTAAGATACAGGAAAAGCACTCTATAAAATCTTAGTATCATAATATAAAGAGCTGGCTCCTTCCTTGAAATAATGAACAGCTGTGATTAACTGCAGGAGATACTTAAATACAGCACTACCCTCAAAAGGAACATCCTTCTATATCTATAACCTATAACCTCCCATGAGGTTCCTCAACGTCCCAAAGTAGAAGCCACAACAGTACCAATGTACTCCTGCTTGAATAGGGAAATGGAACAAATCCCAAACAACTCAATACGCATAACCATACTATAAACTTACTTCTTTGCTTTGTACACGTAAGCACATCTCTTGCCTAGATAGAATTCTGTTTCATCTCGAGCATAAACACCTTCAATTTTAAGAAGCGCCGTGTGCTCCCTCTGGTTCCGGAGACCCCGCTTATAGCCAGCAAAAATGGCCTTGGACCACAGCCTAGGACACACAGAATATGTATCAGCCACGAACTGCTGCAAGACCTCGTTTAAATTCAACAAACCACCAGTCTGGCTTGACTTGTAATGACCCATCCACCGGTTATCCAGAGCAAACATCTAATCCCTCCTCCCCCCGCACTAGTTTCCAGTTCGCCTTTAGTTAGGCCCATGCCTCATGAACAAAACACAAGAACAAAGCGATTATATTAAAAACGCATACCTTCCAGACATATTGGTCCTTATAGAAGTCCTGTTCCCAGCAGGCCTTAAACAAAAAAGAAGCAGTTTAAATTCTTGCCACGCACGTTCCCCACCTAGTCCCTGCTTTTCTTAAAGTTTAAGGCTTAAACCTGTCGGCATGTCCCGTTCAGAGCACGGGGGGACGTCATCGTGCTGCTTATCAAGCACATGAAGGGCCGTCAGGCAAGACACTCCAACGTCGGAGAATGCCCGGTAACTAAGTAAACTCCAAAATGAAAAGTTGCAAGGTGGTACACCTGCAACCCCTAGAAAACTCCTAAAGGAAGTCCTAAGAAAACTCATGTCACGACCACTAGAAAGATCAAGTCAGAGAAGCACGGAGAAAACAAGACTCTTAAGCAATGAATGGGAAAGGAACAGAGGCTAGAGATTACAGACAAAGCCAGGTTTGTAGGGAGAGCAAATGGAAAGAACCCCGCCAAAAGCTGCCGCCGTCTCGAAAAGGTGAATGCAGATGATAAAGTGCATGTCTCATGTGGTACGGGCCCAGGAAGCAACTTTGACTACGGGAGCACCCGTCCCCCGGCGTCAGGGGACCAGCACCATCGGCCTCACATCTCCTCCATCCTGTCCTCCCTGTTGCTGGGACCCATCAAAATCAACGCCTGGCAGAGCCCCCGTGCCCCAGCAGTGACTCTCCGCGAGATGTGGTGGAACCCACTCCAGTTATTTACCCCTAAACTTCAGCCGCAGCGCTTCCACTCACCTCCACAGGGTCCAAGATGGCGGAAAAAGGAAGGCAAGGCCCCGCCGCGTGGCCTTGTGGGAGAAACACCTCTCCGCCCCGCCCTCAGTTTAGGCATCTTCCGCAACCGCCCAAAGAAAACACACATCGGGGAAATCTTTTTCTGACTAAAACCAGCCACATTCAAAAGCACTCTCACAGTTGTGTCCCTAAGTAATTTCAGCTTTGTAAGCTGCAAAGTGTATGATATTGGAGCAGAGGCAGGCAGAGCGGTAGCCAGCTAAAGGAGGAGAACCAACGGTCCCAGAAAGCCCAGCGTTGCCATAGAAACATCGTGGTTGGGTTCCCGCGTCATCGCGTGCGGTAGGTGGAAAAAGTGAGGACGGCTGAGAAAGTGAGGCGGGCCGGAGGACGTCACCCCCGTTTCGGGCACCTCAGGTTTGGTTCGCCAACGTGGGGGTGTCTTTCGCTCTTACCGCACAGGAGTAGGGCGAGCGGGGCCTCGGAGCCCAGCCTGGAGGAGAGAGGCCGGTCGCACGAAGCGGGAGCTCTTCTCTGTACCTTCCCCTTCTCCCCTTCCTCCTTCCTCCTTCCTCCTGTACTCCTTTCTCTCTTCCCAGAAATGACTTAAACTCTCACCTCATCCTTTGTTTTGTCCCCGAGGGTAAGGAGAAAACAAGGCGCTTTTTTTTGTCGTAAAAAAGCCTTATTCCTTTTTAGGGAGATCTCAGCTGCCATGCAAACTGGGCGCCCAGTAATAGGTATTGAGTAATTGTAGAGACAAGCTTGATATAGATTAATGGACGTCGGAGATTTTCATTTCCTGATTATCGCACAGTTGTTTGGGATCCATTCATTTATCGAACCGTGTATTGGACGACTCCCCTGTACCAAGCTTGGTTTTTGGCTCCGAGGACATTGCCGTAAACAAAACAACAGAGATCTGCCCTCACAGAGTTGACTTTCTAGTCGGGGGAGCAAAATATATTCCGAGTACATTTTAAATGTAACGCTGACCAGGTTTGCTAATGGATAAGGAGTGAGAGAGAAAGAGTAAAGGATGACTCCAGAGTTTTATGTGATAGATGTACATCAGTCCTATTTCAAGTCAGATCCTTATAAATATACATCAGGATAGAGTTTGTGTGCCTTTATGGCCCACTCCCCCCATCTGATTTTCTGTATCCGAGAAAAATACTAGAAACTCACTGTGAGAGAATGTGCTGACAATTCCAGCATTAAATGTATTAGAAAAGTACTCCTCGGAGGAATAACGCATTGTGAGTTTGATTCCTTTGTTCGTTCATTCTACAAATATTTATTGAACATGGTGCCTGAAACGTAGGATGCAATAGCGAGCATCAATGTCATGGTTCCTGATCTCATGGAACTTAACAGTCTAGTGGGGGAAACGGACATAAACATTGCAAAGTGTGAAGAGATTGTTGCAGGAAAATAAAAGTGTAGTCAAATCGGTGCTTGCACGGAGGAATCCTGCTCCAGCCGGATGGAGGAGTAAGGGAAGGTGTCACTTGCAGAAGTGTCAGTAAAGGCATTTTCAAACTGCAGGTGGTCACCCATTAGATCATCATTATAATCCTTTTTTAAGGCCCATGCAATAGAATGAAAAATAGAATGTATCACAAATTCTACGGGTAAATTATTTTATGAAACTTTTCCAGTTATGTGCACGGATGTGTATTTACATATATACTGTATATAAAATGTGTGTGTGTCATTGTAGGTCATTGTGTCAGTGTTGTCCTGGAAGGAGAGGATTGGCAGAGTTGAAGAGAATTTAATAAGGAGTCTGCGTACAAAGGTGTCGGCAAGACTGAAACTGCAAGGGATAATTCATGCTCAAGGCACACGGGGAAGAAGTTGCCTGAGCCCCTAAGAGAGAGCAATATGGAGAGGGTTGCCTGACAGGAGCCATGGCCTTTGATAGAGAAACAGCCAAGTAATGGTGGTCCGGAAGAGAGGAAGCTGGGGAATAAACACAGGACCTTACAATCCTACTCTTTGGATCTCTTTTGAAATTTCCCACTGATGCATGAGGCAGTCCATGTGGATTAGAATCCCAGGGCACAGGAAGTGATGGAGATTACATTTAGAGGGGCAAAAGGCGGATACGTAGCAAAATGGCACTAATTTAAACTGCTGCCTGATGGGACTTTACAAGATGAGAGCCACGAGAGCAAAAAGAAAGACAGCGCCAGATAGATATGGGAAAGAATGGATCATGAAGGCCTTGTAGGCAAAGTTAAGAATTTTATTTTTTGTCCTAAGGCAAAGGGAAACCATGGATGGGACATGATCAGAATTTTTTTTTTTTTAAATATACTTTATTGATTTTTTACAGAGAGGAAGGGAGAGAGATAGAGAGTTAGAAACATTGATGAGAGAGAAACATCGATCAGCTGCCTCCTGCACATCTCCTACTGGGGATATGCCCGCAACCCAGGTACATGCCCTTGACCGGAATCGAACCTGGGACCTTTCAGTCCACAGGTCGATGCTCTATCCACTGAGCCAAACTGGTTTCGGCCAGAATTTTTTTTATTGTCTTTATTATTAAAAGTATTACCTATGTCCCCTTTTTTTCTCTTTTGACCTCTTCTAGCCTGAGCCCTCCTCCCTTGCCCCAGGCCTTCACCACACTCTTGTCTGTGACCATGGGTTATGCATATAAGTTCTTTGGTTCATCTCTTCCCACCCACCCTTGTCTTCCCTTATGATCAGATTTTCAATTTTAAAAGATCATTCTTTCATTTTAAAAAGATCACTTCCAGCCCCAAACCGGCAGCCAATCAATGATTCACTCTCAGTATTAATGTTTCTATTTCTCTCTCCCTCTCCCTCCCTCTCCAAAATCAACAAAATATATATTGAATATATATAAAAAGATTATTTTCAGTCTGACTGGTGTGGTTCAGTGGTTGAGCATTGACCCAGAAACCAAAAGGGACTCAGGAACCAAGAGGTCACTGGTTTGATCTCTGGTTAGGGCACATGCTCAGGTTGTGGGCCCAATCTCCAGTAGGGGGTGTGCAGGAAGCCGCTGATGATGTTCCCCTCATCGATGCTTATTTCTCTATCCCTCTCTTCCTCTCACTCTAGTAATCAATTAAAAATATATTAAATAAAAAGGATCACTTCCAATTTGGAGGCAATTAGGGTAGTTCAAGCAAGAAACAACACGATCTAGCATGGTGTTAGAGAATATGGAAATATTATGTAAAATCCACAGGACTTGGTATGGTTTAGATTGGAGGATGCTGATGTCAAGATGAAGGAGGAAGCAGGAATGACTCCTGGGTTTCTAGCACTGAGGAATGAGAAGCTAGAACAGTACAAAAGTAGTGGAAACTATAAGCATAGCTCTATGTGAAGCACATGGACCTAGGCCCCAAGTTGAAAAAATGTAAAAATAAACAACACGACAAAAGAACAAAATCTTATTAACGCCATGCTGCTTCCTCAAGACTGCCCTTGCACCAGAAAATGTGGCTAGTTTGGAGTATGGTTGTTTTAAAATTTACATAAACATTCTGGTTCATATGTTGGAATTTTTGCATATGAGAATTTCGTTGTGTGAGACATTTGTACCACCCTTCTTAGGATCACTTTTTGTGTGAACAAAACCACACTGGAAACTTACCATTCACTATTCATTCAGTATAGAGCAAAATTCTCCATAGAAAATTTAAAGCTCTTTTAAGCAGAAAGGACTCTAGTTTACTGAGGAGAGTTAACATCTTGGTAGCTGTGATTTTTTAAGTGTAGTCTTGAGAGTTCTTTAAGTCCAGATGGAATCAACTCTGCTATCTGACAGATCAGGGGAAAGATTAATCTAATTAAATATTTTAGTAATCAAGGTAACAGAAAAGTAAATCTATTTTATAGAGGTTACCAATTAAAAAATCAGAATATAATAAAAAGTATGAAAACCATGTTGGATATTAGTTTACCTTAAGAACAGACTCAAAGATTGTATTTACCTACTGATAATTAAGCTGGTGACCTAGTAGACCTGCACCTCATGATGGTTCTTCCATCTCTAAAACTTAAAACTTCTAACAGTAAAAAGATAGGATAAGCTACAGCTTTTGTAATGCTTTACTTTTCTCAAAATGGAAGAGCATAGAAATAACTTAAATGTCATTCAATACTCAAACTAATCTCAATGTTTTCTTCCCATTTTAGCTGACTTCATTTTTGTGAGATTATACATGTACCTTGGAAGTTAACAAAGCTAACTTAAGAAGAATGGAAGCGTATGTTCAAAATTTCAATTTATTTTGTGTGTATTTATTTACATTGCCCCTTACATTAAATTTCTGTGAATTACTTATCTATTGTTATGTAACAAATTACTCCAAAACTTACCTACTTAAAATATAAACATTATTTCACACAGTTTTTGTGGGTCAGGAATTTGGGAGCAGCTTAGCTGGATGGTTCTTGGTTGGAGTCCCTCAAAAGGTTGAAGTTAGCCAATCCTGCAGTCATCTGAAGACTTGACTGAGGCTGGAGGATCCTCTTCCAAGATGTCTCATTTATAGAGCTGGCATGTTGATGCTGGCTGTTGGCAGGAGGCCTTGGTTTCTCACCCTCATGAACTTATCCACAGAGCTGCTTAAGAGTCTCCATGACAAGGCAGCTGGTTTCCCACAGTGTGAGAGATACAACAGCATATGGGAGAAGCTGCAATGTCTTTTACTTTATTGATTTTAGAGAGAGAAAAACATTGATTTGTTTTTTCACTTATTTATGCATCCATTGGTTGATTTTTGTATGTGCCCTAACCTGGGATCAAACCTCCAAGCTTGATGTATCGGGAGGATGCTCTAACCAACTGAGCTACCGGGCCAGGGCCTGCACCTAGCCTTTTATAACCTAGCCTTGGACTCCACAATATTCTTTTAGTTACATAGGTTAGTTAGTCCTATTCAATGTGGGGGCGATTACAAAAGGGCATGAAGGTGAGAATCATATGGGCCAACTTGGAAATTGTCTATCACATTCTGTTTTTCACTCATCATGAGGCACTTTTGGTTAGTAGCATCTAAAGATGTTGCTAGAGCCGAAACCGGTTTGGCTCAGTGGATAGAGCGTCAGCCTGCGGACTGAAAGGTCACAGGTTCGATTCTGGTCAAGGGCATGTACCTGGGTTGCGGGCACATCCCCAGGGGGTGTGCAGGAGGCAGCTGATCGATGTTTCTCTCTCATCGATGTTTCTAACTCTCTCTCTCCCCTCCTCTCTGTAAGAAATCAATAAAATATATTAAAAAAAGAAAAGAAAAGATGTTGCTAGAAAAAAAGTTAATTCAAATTGGTTAAGCATAGCCAAATTGCATGGATCACATACTTCGTTAAACAGTAAGTTGCTTGCTTATGGTTGGTTAAAATGTCACTGAGGTATTTAGCAGAATCACATGCAAAACTCCTACTTTTGTTCATCTTGGTTATATTATATGACAATATAGACTTCATAGGAGCCAGTCTACATGCTACCTGTGCTTTTGAGTTTAACTTTAAAACCTTTGGTGGCTGACTTTTTTTTTTCTGTAGAAACCAACTGGAAGCCTCAGATCTTCCTTCAAAACCTTGGCAACCTGAGGAGATGGTGTCAGTGACAGGCGAACCACCTAGTGTTGTAGTAGAAGAAACAGCTCAAGAAGCAGACAAAGAAGTCATCCCAGAAAGCATAGAGGCACTCTCCATTCTAGATGTACTGAGGATCTCTGCTGTTCTGGAAGATACCACAGACCAGCTCTCTATTCTGAACTATATCATGCCAGTTCAGTATGAAAGAAGACAAAGTAGCAGCATGGTATATTTCATTGAATCTATTTTTTTCTTTTTATTTCTCCATTTACAGTATCTATGTCATGAAATTTAACATGGGAAATAGCATCTTTATCTCAGATAAGGGCTATAATAATTACCTGAAATATGGACTCTCAGTTGGAGTGAAATAGCCATCTCTCAAGGTACATTACCAGCCAAAATATCCTTTTCTCCAGTATGCTGGCATTATTCAAAAGGCCTGTAGTTAAATAGGTATAAGTACAGTCTGTGCACTGAGATCAGACAAATTACTGAGTTGTCCCATTTATATTTCTCAGCTGCTAAAAGCTAACTGAACACTAGGTGGAGGAAATTCAACTGCTGGACCCTTTAAACATTGCTCTAATCTTTTAAAATGACTGTGTTGTCATTTCAGAATATATTGTAATCTGCCCTTCTGAATATCCGCCACATTATTGTGTCAGTCATTACATTTTCAGTGATGCTGTGGACTACTCAAAGCACGTATTTAGTTACCAAAAAATTCAACGTGGTAGTGTACAAAAGATTTATAAGTTATTAAACTCTTGTTAATTTTAATAACTTAGGTTGTACATATACAATAAAAATTTTAAATACAAATACATATTTATTGGTAGCTGGCGATTGGTGGAGAAAGCGGCAGCTGTCCCAGTGGAGGCAACGATGGGGCGGTCCCCGGCAGTCGGGACCAGCTGGAACGTGTCACCCCCTGGCGCTGCGGTGATCACTCACCTTCCCTGCGTGTTGCCCTGCACTGCTGTGGCCAGCGGGGAACCATGGCCGTGCTCGTCATGCTTCTGTCCTTGGTGGCGGGTGTTTTGGGGAACGAGTTTAGTGTATTAAGATCACCAGAGTATGTTGTTTTCCGCAATGGAAATTGGTCTATACCAGGAGAGCGAATCCCAGACGTGGCTGCATTAGCCATGGGCTTCTCTGTGGAAGAAGAACTTTCTTGGCCTGGACTTGCTGTGGGTAACCTATTCCATCGTCCTCAGGCTACTGTTATGGTGATAGTGAAGGGAGTGGACAAACTCACTCTACCCCCAGGCAGTGTCATTTCCTACCCTTTGGAGAATGCAGTTCCTTTTAGTCTTGACAGTGTTGCAAATTCCATTCATTCCTTATTTTCTCAAGAAAGTCCTGTAGTTTTGCAGTTGGCTCCCAGTGAGGAAAGAGTGTATATGGTGGGGAAGGCCAACTCAATTTTTGAAGATCTTTCAGTAACGTTAGGACAGCTCCGCAATCGCCTGTTTCAAGAAAACTCTGTTCTTAATTCACTTCCCCTCAATTCTCTGAGTAGTAACAGTGAAGTTGACCTGCTCTTTCTTTCTGAACTGCAAGTTCTGTGTGATATTTCAAGTTTGCTGTCTCGACATAAGCATCTAGCCAAGGATCATTCTCCTGATTTATATTCACTGGAGCTGGCAGGTTTGGATGAAATTGGGAAACGTTACGGAGAAGATTCTGAGCAATTCAGAGATGCTTCTAAGGTCCTTGTTGATGCTTTGCAAAAGTTTGCAGATGGCATGTATAGTCTTTATGATGGGAATGCAGTGGTAGAGCTAGTGACTGTCAGATCATACGACACATCACTTGTGAGGAAGACAAGGACTATCCTTGAGACAAAACAAGAGAAGAACCCATCAAGTCCCTATAACCTTGCATACAGATATAATTTTGAGTATGCAGTAGTTTTCAACATGGTACTTTGGGTAATGATCTCCTTGGCCTTGGCTGTGATTATCACCTCTTACAATATTTGGAACATGGATCCTGGATATGATAGCATCATTTATAGGATGACAAACCAGAAGATTCGAGTGGATTGAACTTCTGTTATGCCAGAGATACAAAAGTGGTTTGGAAATTGGCTGTTTTGTGAAAATAGTGTAATTTAAAGTAGATAGTATACTTTAAATTTGTTTTAAAAAGCAAATTTTGTTCTCTATTTTGTGTGTGCCTGTGAAGTTGTTTTATAGTAAAGTATATTGACATGAATTGATTTGTGTGATAGATTTCATAATATGCTCAAATATTATTAATTATAATTGCATTCCATTTAGTGCTTGAATTAATGCACTGAAATAAATGTAAAACATTTAGAATAGTTTGTGTAATTTATGTTGAGAAAAAGCACTTGAGTTTATTAGAGAAACTTTTTTCCCCCCAATATATTTCTTTATTGATTTCAGAGAGGAAGGGAGAGGGAGAGACAGAGAAACATCAATGATAAGAGAGAATCATTGATTGGCTGCCTCCTGCATGCCCCCTACTGGGGATCGAGCCTGCAACCCGGGCATGTGCCTTTGGCCAGAATCGAACCTTGGGGCCCTTCAGTCCACAGGCCGACGCTCTGTCCACTGAGCAAAACCGGCTAGGGCTTATTAGAGAAAATTTTAAATGCTCAACTTCCTTACACAGGATAGGTGAAAATTATATTTGGGTTGTTATATACTATGAGCAGTGGCTTATTTTGATGTTAATATCTCTGAAGCAAGAGAAAAGATTTTAAACTTTAGAGCAGCCCTAAACTATGAAAGTGCATGTGCAGTCACTTAGATTTGGAACTGCATCTGATTGACAGAGGATAGCTGTTTTTTTTGTTGTTTGTTTTTTAAATATATTTTATTGATTTTCCAAAGAGAGGAAGGGAGAGAGACAGAGTTAGAAACATCGATGAGAGAGAAACATCGATCAGCTGCCTCCTGCACATCTCCCACTGGGGATGTGCCCACAACCAAGGTACATGCCCCTGACCGGAATTGAACCCGGGACCCTTCAGTCCGCAGGCCAACACCGTATCCACTGAGCCAAACTGGTTTTGGCGAGGATAGCTGTTTTTTAATTTACTCTGAAAGTTTGATGATCCACATTTGGTCTAATGTGGATATTAAAAATACTACAGTGGAGGACACATTTGTAATACCTTAACTAATAAAGAATTTAAAATAAATAAAAATACTACAGTGATTTAAGAAGAAACTAGCTTTGTGGAGTTATAAATGCTTGTAATTATACACACAAAAACATATTGAGGGAACATTTTGGGCCATGAATTTAAAAATCTTTTAGTTTGCTGGCCAGTGTGGCTCCGTTGTTTTCAGATTCGATTTCTGGTCAGGGCACATACCTAGGTTGCAGGTTCAAATCCCTGTTGGGGTGTGTGCAAGAGGCAACCAGTCAATGTTTCTTTCTTGAATTGATGCTCCTCTCTATCTCCCTCTCCCTCTCTCTTCAAAATCAATAAGAAAGCATATCCTCGGTTGAGTATTAAAAAAACGTTAAAAAAATTTTTTTCAGTAACTATGGTTTATATCATTATAGAATATTAAGTGTAAATAGATGCTTCTTACTTTCCATGTGGAAGTGGACCAATGTCTACAAAGAGCGACAAAGATAATGATTCCAAACAAAAAATAACCCACGTACATCTTTATTAAGTTTAGCAAAATTAACATTATATAATCTGTACAGAATATATTCTTTGTAATTTTTTTGGTACACAATATATTCTTATTTCTGACAAATGAAAATTGCTTTAAGCCCTTGCCAGGTAGCTCAGTTGGTTAGCACATCCCAACACACCAAGGTTGTGGGTTTCAACCTGGGTCAGGGCACATACAAAGAGCAACCAATGAATGCATCAATAAGTGGAACAACAAATCAATGTTTCTCTATTTCTTTCTCTCAAATTAATAAATACAAAAAGAAGAAAATTGCTACATAAATGAGAAAGTAAGTTGCTTTCTATGTCTAACTGAACAAGAAGTCCATATTTATTGTGACTAGATAAAATTCCCTTTAATTGCTCCTTATAATTTAAAAATTATATGTATAAGCTGGGTTTGTAAAGCTTTTTTAAAGTTTAAAACTTTTCATATAAACAATCCATGGACACAGACAATAGAGTGGTGAAGCCCTGGGGTGGGGGTGGGGAGAGCGGCTAGATAGGGTCAGTGGTGGGGAGAAGGGGGACATATGTAATAGTCTCAACAATAAAGACTTAAAAGATAAAATTAAATAAAGTTTAAAAGTTTAGTTCTACCTGGTTTGGCTCAGTGGATAGAGCGTTGGCCTGTGGACTGAAGGGTCCCGGGTTCGATTCAGGTCAAGGGCACATGCCTGGGTTACGGGCTCCATCCATCCTCAGTAGGGGACGTGCAGGAGGCAGCCAACCAATGATTCTCATCATTGATGTTTCTGTCTCTCCCTTCCTCTCTGAAGTTAATAAAAAAATATTTTTTAAAAAAGTTTACACAAAATTTTAATAGAACACTGAATTTGGAGTCAGGAGACCTTTGCAGTTTAGTGGTGTGCTATGAGCAATTCATTTCACTTTCTTGGCCTTAGTTTTCTCATTTGCAAATTGTAAATGATCTATATGGTCCTTTCCAATGCTAAAATTCTATGAGTTTTGGGGTAATTTTAAAATGACCTTAATAGAGCCCTAACTGGCTTGGCTCAATGGATAGAGCGTAGGCCTGCGGACTCAAGGGTCCCAGGTTCGATTCCAGTCAAGGGCATGTACCTTGGTTGCGGGGCACATACCAAGTGGGAGTGTGCAGGAGGCAGCTGATCGATGTTTCTCTCTCATCGATGTTTCTAACTCTCTATCCCTCTCCCTTCCTCTCTGTAAAAAATCAATAAAATACATTTTTTTAAAAAATGACCTTAATAGATATTAATAGATATTTTATAACAAATTAATTTCCTTATCAGTTTATGAATGGCAAAGAGATTAGAAACCCAAGAACTAAGCCTTTCAATGCATGTTCTGGTTCATGAATTAAGATAGTTAAAAATAGTACAGAGGAGAGTGTTTCCTTCCTACTTACTGTCTCCTTCAGTAAGAAATAGCCCTGGCTAGTGTTCTCAGTGGTTAGAGCTGCAGCCCATGCACCTAAGGGTCTTGAGTTCAATTCCCCATCAAGGGCACATACCTGGGTTGCAGGTTCAATTTCCAGCCCTGGTCAGGGTGAATGTGGGAGAGAACCAACGGATGTATCTCTCTTTCTCTCTCCTTTTCTTCCCTAACCCCTCCCTTCTTTCCACTCTTAAAAAATAAATGGAGCCCTGACCGGCTTGGCTCAGTGGATAGAGCATCGGCCTGCGGACTGAAGGGTCCCAGGTTCGATTCCGGTCAAGGGCATGTGCCTTGGTTGTGGGCACATCCCCAGTGGTGGGTGTGCAGGAGGCAGCTGATTGATGTTTCTCTCTCATTGACATTTCTAACTCTCTATCCCTCTCCCTTCCTCTCTGTAGAAAAATCAATAAAATATATTTAAAAAAAATAAATGGAAAAAAATATCCTCAGGTGAGTAAAAAAGATATTCAGTTAACAAGATGAAATCTTATACGTAACAATGATACTGTCAGGCATAAAAAAAAAAGGTAATTTGCCATCATAGAAATTTAAGAAAGAATGAAAAACCCAAATTTATAAATAGCCTTCAGCAGCAGTCACCACTTCAGTAAATAAAAGAACACAACTTTTGAGCTGTTTTATTCTGGCTAATGATCTTCACTTACAAAATTTTCTAACTTAACAGAGGTTCTGCTTATGATTTTTTTAAAAATATATATTTTAGTGATTTTTTTTACAGAGAGGAAGGGAGAGGGATAGAGAGTTAGAAACATCGATGAGAGAGAAGCATCGATCAGCTGCCTCCTGCACACTCCCTACTGAGGATGTGCCTACAACCAAAGTACATGCCCTTGACTGGAATCGAACCTGGGACCCTTCAGTTCCCAGGCCAGTGCTCTATTCAGTGAGCCAAACCAGCTAGGGCTCTGCTTATGATTTTATAGAAGTATAAATAATAAAGGTTTGCTCGGCTGGTGTGCCTCAGTGATTGAGCATTGACCTATGAACCAAGAGGTCACAGTTTGATTCCTGGTCAGGGCACATGCCTGGGTTGTGGGCTCAGTCCCCACTGTGGGGCATGCAGGGGTAGCTTATCAATGATTCTCTATCATCATTGATGTTTCTCTCTCTCCCTCTCCCTACCTCTCTGAAATCAATAAAAATATATATTTTTTAAAATGATGGGTCTCCTAAAATAATGTTTTGTTTTTACTTCATAGTACTATAGTTGTTCAATTTCATAAATGTTACTATGCCATTACCCTATATGGCATGGGATATACAATCTTAATCTTAGTATATATGTGGATTTTTTTCCTTCAAAGACTTCACATTGTTTAGCCTTATAACAACCTGGAGTTGAAAGGTTAGTTAGCATTATCCCATTTTTAAAGTCATTTTTATAGATAACGACATATCCAAGTAGATTTTTTTTTCATTTGTTTGAAACATGGAATGGAATGATGAAACTATACTAACATACCGGGCTCTCTCAGAAGCGAAGTAATGGACCTAAGGTTGGAAAGAGATCTCTTGCAGGAAATACTGTTTCTCCTTTTCCTTATAGTCTAATGCCCTATCTTGTACATAATGTATGCTACGTAAAAATATTATTGACTGGACTAGATAGAATACCTAGCTAGTTCCTTAAAGTTCTCTTCTAAAAATTCCTATTTCTATTAACCAGTAAATCAGTTTGACACAATTGCTTCCTTTTCCAGATGCCTACACATAAAGGAAGAGGCAAACTAGGGCTATCAGAAAAACGGCTTCCTAGGCCTTACATTTCCCCTTTCTCTCCTAGACAAAAATGAGGTTAAAACTGGAGGCGGAGGCCCTCGTATAGCTTTGTTTCTTCACTCTCTGAAAATCTGTGTTACATAAAACATCATTCATTGTTTTTAGAAGAAAAATACTGAAATGAATTTAGAAGAAAAAAGCCCAGAAAACCCTCCAGCGGTCCCAAAAATGCTGAAAGAAGAACCCAAGTTGCCAGAAATCAGACAAGGAGGACAATTGGCCAAAGAATATAACAAAGTGCAAGATCTTGTCCTCCAAACACCTGCAAGGCAGTCCGTAATTTCTACAGAAACACTGAAAAAAATTCAGAATGATAGGTAAGGAAGGAGAGCATACTTGGAAGTGAAAGTGTATTTCTGGGTGGATAAAGAATGAGTGCTAGGGTGGCTGGCTGCCCTCTTCCCTTCTGGATGGTTCTTGTATCCAAAGTGAGTGCTGATAATAGTATTGAGTCTTTGTTTGCAATTTTTAAAAATGAGAATAACTTTGCAACATTAATGTGAGGATTAGAAATGAGGCTTCAGTCAAGGGCCCGGCATAAATTGATAGCTATTGGGATGCTTT